CCAGCATTACTCTAACTGAGGAGAGTTGAACATTCATTATAGCTCAACTATTTATTTGGTTCTTTTTTTAATCCTCACTCGAGGATATGTTTTTTCATAGAGAGAGGGTGGCAAGAGAGAGAAACATCGATCAGTTGCCTCCCGTACACGCCCCGACTGGGAGTTGCACCTGCTGCCTTTCCACGTACGGGATGACGCTCCAACCAGCTGAGCCACACTGGCCAGGGCTGTTTGGTTCTTTAGAAAGAGGACTTTAAATGTCAATATTTTTTTTCTTCATCCTTATGGCTTAACACTTGCTTGGGCTGTTGAAAGCTAAAAGTAGATACAAAATGATAATTGAGTGTATGGTACAGTGATCTGCCATAGTTGTTACTGCATGAAGAGAAAAAGAGTCACACAAGTCCACCACCTTGCACTTCATAGAGAAGGTGTTAGAGATATTGCAAAACCTGTCTCTATTTTTTATCCTGATATTTAAGGTTTTCATGCTGTCTAGGGCCTGTCTCTAATATGAGTAACTTCATTTTTGCAAGTATAGACACTGGCATTCAAAAGAGTGATCCATTTAAATTTTTTTCAACTGGATTTTGGAAGAAGATAAAATCTTTCATTGATACAGTTTATTGTCATCTTACGTGCTCAAAATGCATGTGATCAAATGACATGCAGCGTCTTTTATTTATTTTTGGTTCCTAAAATTAAGGTAGCTTGAATATTGTTTCACATTCCTTTCTTTTTAAATAATCATGTTTGCTTTGCAAAAGGCTTAATGATGGAGTATTAGCATCTGCTGGAGCAGAAAGTAGTACTTAAAAAAGTTACTAAATACTTTCTTTAGTTTCCTTAGTTATGGCCTAAATATTTAGTTTCTTGGCTTTAATGTCCACTGGTTTTACTTTGATGCAGTTGAACACACTGGGGTTAAGTGTCTGATATTTGTGTTGGCCATATATGTTAACCATATTTTTAAAAAATTTTTTTTTTCCGGAAGAGGGAAAATGCAAGAGAGGACAGTATATTCCTTTTGAAGGATTTTTTAAAATTCTTGATTATATGATGGTGTTTTTTTCTATTTACTTGCAATTTGGTGGCTATAAAATTTAACTTTAGGTTTTTGGTGTATGCTAATTTAGCTTGTCTGAGCTTCCAAGAAGACGCATAAACATTTCAGTTTTCATTAGCTGAATGAAGACATTTTAAGAAGTTGAGAGAAAATTTGTTTTCAAGTTGAGAGTAAATTCTTTCAAAATTCACCTGATTATTAAATAATTTAAAGGTGGTTGTTGTTTTTAAGTTGAGAACGTTTTATGAGTTGCTGAGTAGACGGTTCCTAAAAGTACAGACTCAGATACCAACAGTCTATGTATAAAATAAAATGGTTTTATTTTCAGTTTTGCAGCACAAAACTGATTAGCATATAGTATAAAGAAACATCCACATTGGTGGTTGTTTTTCTCCTGATACAGGTGTCCCTTGAGTGACATCTCCTAATGTTCAGGTTGGGGGGGATCAGAACCAGTTATCTGGCTTCTATTTTGTCCATTGCTTAGGTTTGTTCCTATTGTCAAAACTGTCCGTCCCTCCCTCCGCCCGACCCCCCAAAAAATGGTGTGACACATACTCATGCAATATTATGTTAAAATGAGTACATCCTGTATTTGTATTTTTGTTTTCAACATTGCCAAGGTGCTATGGGAAATTAAAATAACAAAAATTAGAACAAATAAAATTATTTAAAAGCAGTACTGGTTTCCTTTTCTCAGTGGTTTATGTCTAATGACTACTTGTGTTTGTGTTTACTTTTCAATAATTTTATATGTTGCCCCCTCGATAGTTCTATTACTATTCTGTTATCAGCAGTTTTGTTTTGTTTGGGGAAAGGGGCAGGGGCAAGATACGTGATACTGCATCTGTGAGGTGAGGTCAGAGAGCTGTAAGATTCAGCTTTATGATTGTGGGGTTTTCTTAAGTTATTCTTCTTTGAGAAGCAGTTACTAAAGGAGAAAAAAATTATAGGGCAGTGTGCAGTTTAAGGATTTTGCTTTCATTGGGCATATTATGGTCTGACTTGAGTAGGTAAATCATGGGCTTTTAAAATTTGTTTTCAAGCCCAACCGGCAGGGCTCAGCAGTTGAGCATCGACCTATGATCCAGGAGATCTTGGTTCAATTCCTGATCTGGGCACATGCCCAGGTTGCAGGCTCGATCCCCAGTAGGGGGCATGCTGGAGGCAGCCAATCAGTAACTCATCATTGATGTTTGTATCCTCCCTTTCTCTGAAATCAATAAAAACATTTTTTTAAAAACTTATTTTCAAGAAAAAAACACTTAAATTTCCTTTTTCCATCATTGCTTTGATTGTATCAAACCCTGAAGCTAAATGTTTTGGTAGATTTTTTTTTTTTAATTTTTGTTTAAAATATTACAGATGTCCCTTTTTCTCCCCAATGACCCATTCCACCCTGTCCCATCCCTCTCCCCAGGCCCTCTCCCCACCATTGTCTGTGTCCTTGGGTTGTGCATATATGCATATAAATTCTTTGGTTACTCTCTCCCCCTCCACCCACCCGCCCTCCTCCATCCCTCTGACATTCATCAGTCTCATCTATGCTTCCATGTCATTGAATCTATTCTGTTCATCAGTTTATTAAGTTCTTTAGATTCCACGTATAAGCGAGATCATGTGATATTTGTCTTTCGCTGCCTGGCTTATTTCACTTAGCATAATATTCTCCAGGTCCATCCATACTGTCCCAAAGGGTACGAGATTCTTCTTCTTTACAGCTGCATAGTATTCCATGGTGTAAATGTCCCACAGCTTTTTTATCCACTCATCTACTGATGGGCACTTGGGCTGTTTCCAGATCTTAGCTATTGTAAACTGTGCTGCTATGAACATCGGGGTACATATATCCTTTCTGATGAATGTTTCAGGATTCTTAGGATACATTCCTAGGAGTGGAATCACTGGGTCAAACGGCAGCTCCATTTTTAATTTTTTGAGGAACCTCCATACTGTTTTCCATAGTGGTTGCACCAGTCTGCATTCCCACCAGCAGTGTACTAGGGTTCCCCTTTCTCCACACCCTCGCCAGCACATGTCGTTTGTTGATTTGTTGATGGCAGCCATTCTGACAGGTGTGAAGTGATACCTCATTGTGGTTTTAATTTGCATCTCTCTGATGATTAGCGACGTTGAGCATTTTCTCATGTGTCTCTTGGCCATCCGTATGTCCTCTTTGGAGAAGTGTCTATTTAAGTCCTTTGCCCATTTCTTAATTGGGTTGTTTGTCTTCCTCTTGCTGAGTGCTATGAGTTCTTTGTACACTTTGGAAATTAGCCCCTTATCAGATTCATCCTTGGCAAATATGTTTTCCCAGACCGTGGGGTTCCTTTGTATTTTGAGGCTGTTTTCTTTTGCTGTGCAGAAGCTTTTTAGTTTGATGTAGTCCCATATGTTTATTTTTTCCTTTGTTTCTCTTGCCCTAGGAGATGTATCAGTGAAAAGTCCACTACGTGGGATGTCTGTGACTTTACTGCCTATGTTTTCTTCCAGGATTTTTATGGTTTCGTGACTTACATTTAAGTCTTTTATCCATTTTGAGTTTATTTTTGTGTATGGTGAAAGTTGGTGGTCTAGTTTCATTCTTTTGCATGTATCTGTCCAATTTTCCCAGCACCACTTATTGAAGAGACTGTCTTTACTCCATTGGATACTCTTGCCTCCTTTGTCAAATATTAACTGACCATAATGGCGTGGGTCTATTTCTGGGGTCTCTGTTCTGTTCCATTGATCTATATGCCTGTTGTTGTACCAATACCAGGCCGTTTTGATTACAGTGGCTTTGTAATACAGTTTGAAGTCTGGTAATGTGATCCCTCCCACTCTGTTCTTTTTTCTCAAGATGGCTGCAGCTATTCGGGGTCTTTTTTGGTTCCATATAAATTTTCGAAATGTTTGTTCTAGGTCTGTGAAATATGCTGTTGGTATTTTAATAGGAATTGCATTGAATTTATAAATTGCTTTGGGTAGTATGGACATTTTAATGATATTAATTCTTCCAATCCATGAGCATGGTATCTTCTTCCACTTGTTTAAATCTTCCTCTATTTCTTTTTTCAGTGTCACGTAGTTTTCTGAGTACAGGTCTTTTACATCCTTGGTTAAGTTTATTCCTAGGTATCTTATTTTTTTAGTTGCAATGGTAAATGGTATTGCTTTTTTAGTTTCTCTCTCTGAAAGTTCATTGTTGGTGTATAAGAATGCCATTGATTTCCGGATGTTGATTTTGTATCCAGCTACCTTGCCAAATTCGTTTATCAAATCTAGTAGTACTTTGATGGAGTCTTTAGGGTTTTCTATGTACAATATCATGTCATCTGCAAATAATGACAGTTTTACTTCCTCCTTTCCAATTTG